ATGTTGTATTAGTTCTGTATTACACATGGTCAGCCCACCTAAGTCTACTTTCTTTCATTTTGTCAGTTATTGGAGCCACTCTTAAGTTCCCTCGATAATGTTCATTCTGATTTCTATCATTTATTGTCTTGCCACTCATCCATCTCAACATTTTCATCTCTACTACACTAATCCTGTGGGTATTTTGTTTCTTGACCGCTTAACATTATGTTCCATATTGCAAAATTAGTCTCACAACTATCCTATAAAACATCCCTTTCAGCTTCATTGGTATGTGGCCATCACATAAAAGTGATTGCACATCTCTACTTCGCACACCCAACTCTAATTCTATGTACGACATCTTTCTCAATCTCTCCATTTTCTTAGATTTTTTACCCAAAATATAAAAAATACTCTCTTTTAGATACTTCTTGGCCATCAATTTTAACATATTGGTCTCAATGTATCTTTTCACACCAGTTCAGAATTAATTGGTGTAAAAATATTCCCACACCAATATTTTTTTACGTGAAAATATATACTAGAAAATATTTTCACGCAAAACAAACGTGCCTTTAGTGGATGGGTAGAGCGTGGGGGGTGGGGGGGGGGGGGGGGTTTAAAGTTGGCTGGGGGATGGGGGTGGGGAGGGGGGTGTTTAAAGTTGGTTGTTTTTATGACACACACTCTCTCTCTCATATAAAAAATACATCTGCATGTATTTGGCATGTCCTTATTATATGATACAAGATATCCTATCCAAGTTTCGTATGGTTTGGATAGGGTTCACGGTCCTATGCTTTTTTTTAATCAAAGAAGATCCTCGTCTTAACGGGATATTTTTGAGAGTGAGTTTATGTTGAATATATAGAATTTATATTTGATCTTGGAGAGGAGACATTCTAAGAGAGAGATAGAGAGTTTACATTTGATCTTAGAGAGGAGACATTCTAAGAGAGAGAGAGAAGAAGGTGGGGGAGGGAGAGTTTACATAGATTTAGAGAGAGAAACATTCATAGAGAAGACCTTTTTATCTTACTATAATAAGATCCGTCTATTCGAACATAATTTGTTGAATTTGTAACTATAAATTTTTAGATTTCAAAAATAGTTTAAATAAACAGATCTATAAACACATGAAAATCTTTTAAATAAACGATCTAGATAATGTGTAATAATATCATATTATTGTGAAAATTTATAATTAGAGATAAAAATAGATTTGTTGAGAGAGAGAGATCAGTTTGTCCATACAACAAATCTATTTATAAATTTTCAAACTTCAAAAATAGTTCAAATAAACAAATATATAAACAAATCAAAGTCTTGTAAATAGACGGTTTAGATAATGTATTACAAGATGTATTATTTTTAAGACTTGAAATCTCTTTTGTACTCCTATCTATACACCTCAATGTCAGATGATTAATAAGATGATTTCCTAACATCAAAAACCTTATTTGAAGGAAGTGCATCTTAATTCTAGATTTTAAGATATAACCGTATATAAACTTTCTCCTTTTTATAATTCGGTCCCAGTGAAGTGCACATGCTCTTAAAAATTTAGATCCAAAGACTAACCCATGCAATGTGGTATTTTAAACTCCTGTATTCACATGTCAACACCATGGAAGAGATACCTCACGAACTTGGCGAAAGGCATCCATCTTAAAGATGGATGCAAATAGGTGGTCCATTTAAAAATAATTGAAACTAATGATTCAAATATTTTTTTAATAGAATTATTATTTTTAATTTTAAAAAAATATTTATTTTTTCATATTCCATCATAGAGATTTCATGTCCTTAAAAATTAAGTCCAAATATCTATCTCAAAAATAGATTTTTAAAGAGGTAACTCATTTTTGTATGGGCCCATAGAAACCATGTCCAACAAAAACTGTGCCCACTCCACCTAAATTCTCTAGTTAAGACCCTTGTATGATTCTAGAATTGTTCAAAATGTATCCCTAGATGGAAAACAAAAGCGCACTAGTAAACACCATCAACTCATTCATACAAAAACTTCAACCCTTGTCATATCTGCTAATATAAATATATTATCCTCTTTTTTAAGGTATTTAAGTTGCAATCTTAAAATGTATAATTAAAATGCACCACAAAAAATCCATTGGAAAACGCTATTTTGATGTTGAAAAATCCTTGAATTGATCATTACGACATTGAGATATATGAATATGAAAAAAAGAATGTCTCGAGTCTCAAAGATAGTACATCTTCTGACATGTTATCTAGTTTGTCCATTTTCACGATTTTCAAGTGTTTATGGATCTACTTGATTTGAACTATTTTTGGAGTTTAAATTTCTATAATTAGAGATGAAAATGGATTCTCATACCATCCTAAGAATTGTCGATACCGAAATTATATCTGATGATAAAATTTAGAGGCATGCCATAATTTGATTGTTTTAGCTTTCAATCGTATGCCAACCACGCCCTATATGAAAAAGCGAACTCCTATTAAACACCAATGACTAATTTTAAGGGTACAACCTTAAAAAATAGAATTAAGTTACACCTTAAACATCCATCATAAAATATTGTTTTGATGTTGAAAAACCCTCTAATTGATCATCGCGGCATATGAATATGAAAGGTAAACAAGATTTCAAATCTAAAAATAGTTTATCTTGTGGCACATTATTTGGACTGTCCATTTTCAAGATTAGATTTTCAAACGTTGATAAATCTACTTGATTTGATCCATTATTGAAGTTTAATATTTTATAATCAAAGATGCAATCTACTATTTTATACAAGGCAGCACCCTTACTTGTACAAATATGATCATTACCATCTACTAGGCACGTCTCTCATATAAACCAAGTAGAATGAGGCAGAAATGCAACGATAGTTGGCATAACATGTTGCCACTTGATTTGGAAACACTCATGTAGCAGAAATTGAGATTATACTCAGTTGAAAGCTTTCATATATAAAGATTATTGAAAGTGCCCTATGGGAAGTCATGAAATGAAAATCAATCACTAGGGACAAGACCTTTTCACCTAAGAACTGATCCAAGAACTAGTAGAAATATATATCTGAAGCTGGGGTTAGCTTAGCTTTGAGCTTCGAAAAACCATAATTTATGATGGGCTTGGATAGGTTTTTCACTGCAGTATCCTGGGAATCTAAGCTCTCCAAGAATACCTTTGAACATAAGCTAATTGTCTCATGGAGAAAACAGCCTACTCATTTTCAGTCAAAATATAAATATTCGGTCCCACCGAGAAAACAGCCTTATCATTTTCAGCCAAAATATATATGTTTGGTAACGATACATGTGTGTAACGTAAGTGACAACAGTCATTTCCCCCACCATTATGAGCTGACAATATTGTCATTAGCAGCTCCCCTTTCGGTATCAGCCCCCATTTGCTGCCATCTAACCAGTTTCTACCTGGACCAAGTCTGAAACATCTGGTAAGGTTGGACCAGCGTCTGCTTTAACTTGGAAAAATAGTGGGCAACCGTAACTCCATCTGTACACATTAAACTTTCACCAATAGGGGCATATCATGTATATATGAAACAGTGTTTAAAAACTTGCAAGTCATTGTAAGGACTCCCCTAGTCACCTAAACAAAAACCCTGTCAGTTCCAGATGAACTCGACTGAGATGAAAAGAATATTCAAACGAATATTGATCGAGCCTTCCCTGGTCTCAAAGGAACCCATGAGTTTAGTCCGAGTCTTGGCAGGTCAGACTCTGGACTCTGAGCGAACTCAGGCCCACGCCTAACCGGTTCCATGTCTTCAAACACTACTGCGAATATTACACATAAATATTGATGCAATACACACCACAAGGACGCTGCAAATAAATATCAGACAAATACACCCAAGCTCATGGATGAGTTCTAACTTCTGGGGAACATGGAGAGGAAGATTTTCCGGGAACATCAATCATCAAGAGCCACTAAATACCTCAGAACATTGTCATGCCAAATGAAGACGCAATCATCATTGACATCAATTTCAGCTATATGGCATTGAGATATGGATATGCATATTTGTCTGTGTGGTTGTTACATCCTACATACATGCAATGGTCATTCAACATTTACCTAACTAATTTCAAACTTCTGATTTTTCCTAGACAATCTTTTTATGTTCAATTGATTATAAATATATTTTATACAAAATTATACAATTTGTTAGTTTATACTTTATATAAAATATATAATTTTAGGCTGCAGTTGGCATACGGATGC